CATTGTGAAAAGCACAGCAAAAACGCGGGAAGCTCATCCAAATGACTTCTGGGCTTTTTACAAGATGGCCGCTCGCTCCCAGGCCCTCTCCACTTTCCAAGATGGCGACAGAGTCAAATTTCCCACTCAGGGGGATCGCTGTGGACGTCAAAATCCCTACCCAGGTAGAACCTCACAAAGTCAAATTCCCGTGGGTTGCCCCCCCCCCTCCTATACTGGGGTAAACCATTGATAGGTGCATAAATATGATACGCGAGGCATCTCAGTGATATTTTTCTATCCGAATAGCGCAACGTTTCTAATATTCTTCGTTCGTATGTTCGAGATTCTTATATGCATTATTTGCTTGTCTCCCTTCTAAATTCTCTGTTATTGTGGGCCTGGCTTGGTGCGTCTCGATATGAGAAGGGGAAGGGAGGAAGAACTGAGGAGGGGGAGGGGGGTCAAGCATCAAGCATAGGGGGCCTGAGGTGGAGGGTCTCAGGTGGAGGGTCTGAGAGGGTGGGGAGGGGGCTGAGGTGGGCCTGGGTCTGAGATGGGGGTCTGAAGGGGTCTGAGATGGGGAGAACGTTCCAAACCCTCCCCTTTAATACCTTCAGGCTGGCTCCAAAATTACTTTAACACTATCCAGACACCAAATACATACAAAAATATGCCATGCGCTATAATCTAACAATATCCACAAAAATATTTCAGTCTATAATTGGCAGAAAAATAAGAAAATTCAGCCTCGACTGAAAAAAAAACAATGTGGTGAAACAAAATGTCGGCCCGGCGACAAAACGGTTAAAGTTTCGGCGTACAGTGGAACCCCGCCTTACGACCACCCCGTTAATAGGACCACCTGGCTGTTACGGCCACTTTATCCTGGCCTGAACAAAAGTTCAGTCAGTCATTTTCTTATTTAAAGAACCCCTTTAATATAACCACCCCGTTAATGCGACCAGTTTTCCATGGCCCGAATGTGGTCATATTAACGAGGTCCCACTGCATTTTCAGAAGTAAGTTACTACACGTCTATGGAATAGCGCACTAAAACCCGCTCTTCTTCTACGCTTACAGTTTCCACGCTTATTCAAAGTAAACTAGTTAGCCTGTTATCAATTACACAAATTCGTTAATGTTAAACAGCTGTTAAAAACTGAATTTGTCTGTGACATCTTTACTTATCTCTTATGCTAAAACTATTTTCAATCATTGATCTCGAGAAGTAGGCAGGAGTGGACTACGACTGAATCGAATTTTAACTTGTATTTCGGGGGATTTTAATGTTTGAATCTAAAAATGCTTTGACACTCCGAAATCTGCATGTTCCGTAAAGTCAAATTGCCAACTCATCGTGTTCATCGAGCAACTAGACCACGCCATTTCTGCCATTTCTTACCCTTCGATCAAGATTTTTATGTTTTTTTTTTCAGTATTATTGTTTTTCTTTCCTATTTGCAACTTATACAGATGGCGACAAGTTCTCAGTAGCTGCTGTGGCACGTTGCACAAGCATGGTTAAATCCCCAACAGAAAACTACTACAAACTGGATGCAACAATCGCCCAGAACAATGAAATCTGTCGAGTTGTCGGACAGTCCAGTGTTGAATCGCAACAGTAAACCGTGTCAGCGGAGTTACTGAACCAAGCAGGATGGCAGGGAATAAACAGTGGACATCCTGGTGTGCTGTTCAACGCTGTGGATGAAAACAACTTTGACTTTGTTTACTTTAGGTGAGTCACTGGCGAATCGGGATGTTGGCCTGAAGAGAATAATCAGGAAGTAGGTTAAAGGAAGATTCTTCTGGCTCAAAAATGGCGATTTCATTGTCTTTGTAGGTCTTGAATGTGGTGTTCGTTAGCTGTGTTCAAGCAGGTCGATTTCTCAACGTGTTAGTTTCGGTGTTCCTTTGCGGGAGAGGGAGTGGGAAGAGTAAACAAGTATCATGTGGGTTGTTTTCTGGCTATTTCTGCACGATTTCAGCCATTGGACTCCAGTTCGAGTGATTCACACCGGAGCCCTGGTTATCGGGGTCTTGTCGCGGAATGGGGGAGGGTGGAGGGGTTAAGTGAGTGGTACACGTTAACTTCCCAACCAACCCTCCTTTTCTGCGTCATAGATTTCGTTCGAATTCCCTTTCGGTCTTTTCTCTAACTTCAGTTTGTGTCGACTTTGAGCGAAAATAGTTACCTTGTCTGGGATATCTTTGCCAATTGTAAGAAGAAGAAAAAAAAGAAAAAATTACAGAACATGGGCTCTATGTTGTAGAGAGTAAAGGAAGGGATTTGAAATACCAGAAAGGCAAGCCTGGGATTGGAACAGAAATGACGAAATATCCTTCCAGTTCTTATGTGGCTGTTACAACAGATGCGCCTAAAGAACTTTATCTGTGTATAATCTTTCAGTAAAGAAAGAACTTCTGATCCTTGTATACTTTATTCACAGACCCCATAGCCCTAATGGCTGTTATCAGACCGGGTACATGGTCAACGGGAAACCGACCTTTGTTGAGTTTAAAAAGTGCCCCAATGGTCCCCCGAAAGGCGGCGTCTGGTTTCCAGTGGCGGTCAAGGTCCTCGGCCATGACGTTCAGGTGTACCTTGGCGGAGATCTGGTGACGACTATTAAGTCCCATTTGCTCCAAGGGCCCGGGGAGGAGTATTAACTTTCCATGGCTACCAAAATGTGGTCCTCTTCAGGAAGTTCGAAATCGTCCTTCAACTTTTTGTCTCTAAGAAGTGCGCAGAGTCAGCTGAATTCCCCGACTACATCAAACTCGATGCGGACCACGGAAGTTGGCCTAAAGATGGCTTCTGTCAGGCCGGGTACTTGAAAAAAGGCGGGCAGTCTACGGACTATCAACTGTCAGTTGATCTGTATAACTTCATGGGACGGGACGGAGCGAATTTTGGTCATCTGGGAGTGTTCTTTAACGTTGAAGATCCAGACAATTACGACTTCGTCTACTTCAGGTGCGGAAAAAAATGGTTGAACAATGTAAATCGCTTCAGCCACTAAAAAATGACTAAAGGCAGATAAATCTTGAAAAGTTTGTGCGAAGTGGAGAAAAATATCAGAAGAAAAACAAAAACCTTGAGGTAGTGGGAACTGCGTTTTGAAATAGGTTCCTAAAACCGGTCAAAGTAATGAAAGCACACGTATAGAAAAAATTATTTTTGTCTTTGAAGACAAAGATATTCCAAAATAGGTTAGCGTATGGGTTCAGTTAATTTAATCTTAGTTCTTGAAATACTGAGAAAGTATAAGAAGAAAGCGCTAGTTTAAGGGTTGTACCTTTAACTCAACTGAAAGTGAAATCATGATGGGATCTCGTAGCCTGTAGTTGCAAAGCGGTGACCAAGGACTTGGTGTGTTGTATTGTTTCACGCCAGAAATGTAACAAGATAATTATCGCTATTGGCAGTCGTACATAATCATCTTGCCCCAATCTTTTCACTATTGCGTGTCTTTCAAAACCTTTTCATTATTGACCTCTTTTTGATGTTTATTTTCAGGCCTCATTCAGCCGGCGGATGCTTCCAGACAGGTTACGTTTACAAAGGCCAACCCAAGTTTGATGGAGCTATATCTAGTACCTGCCCAACCGGTCCCCCCAAGGGAGCAGAATGGTTCCATGTCAAGTTGACAGTATCAACAGCTTCTCCTTCAGGTGAAGTGAAAGTGTACATGAAGGGCRCGCTGGTGACGTCATGGAACCCGCGCTATCCAATCAAAAACCGTGGTGGTGTTCTGGTGGCCAATGGCTACAAGAACGTGGTCTACTACAAGAATTTCCACATGCAGTAAGGCTGAAAACCGATCGAGACCAAGGCTGAAAATAATGATCGAATAATAGCTACATGTATCATTACACTTCTGAACGTTATTTTTGTTTGCCGACAACCCGATATTCAGAGTAAATTGAGCTAGCGTAAAACTGTAATGCTTTGAAAGTAATAAGTTTGTACACTTTGCTTCGAGAACATTCGTAACTTGCTGTAAGATGGTAGACCTTCAATTTATAGCAGTGAAATAGTAATAAAATTGAAAGTGTTGCTTGAATCGTCGTTTCAATAAATCAGTTTCAATATATTGTGGGTGAAGCCTCCAATAGACGGATCGAAACTTACTGGAACTTACCAATGACTGTTGACAGACTCAGCCAATACCATCACTGCTAAACTGACCAATCAGTACGACGGATCGGACTTATAACACCGTCGACT